GGGGAGGGGAGGCGGTTGGTCCTGATCCTGGAAAACGCTCATAAACCTGAGGCTGGGGCGGTGATTTGGTGTAAAATACACCTTGTATGTGTATAAAGCAGCACCGCTAACACCGGGCAAGGGCGCCCTGCGAGAACCAGGCCCTGAAGGCAGCAATTCATTAAGAGGTTTCAAGGGCATCTCATGTAAATCACAACTTGAGGTCCCTACGGATAATTGGACATAATGAACACAGGAGGTGACAAAGAACCAAAAGCTAGAAGGTTGACAGCTAAACCATTCTTGGGCAGGGAGAGCTGTAGAACTTCCAATACTGTCCTTTAGGAGAACTTAGCTCATTAGAATGTCATTATAATACTAAAAATCACACCCCCAGGTCAAAAAGACCCTTCCCCTGAGCAGGGGTGGTAGCAGAAACAGGGATGTAACCCTATTATAATGATATGTAAATCACTAACCAATCACGCTGAGGAAACTTACTAACTCTATAGTTTTGTGTATAAATGTGTCATGAAAAACCACCTCTGGTGTGCTGGGTGTGTGGGAAAGCACCAGGCACTAAATAACAATGTCTTTTTGTCATAAAACCTAAGAGCTCCCCTCCCCTCCCAGCCCCGAGCTCCAACTCTCCCTTGGAAGAAGAACAACACAACCCAGGTGGACATCAAAATAGTTTTATACAGATTATTGGATCTCAGTATACAGGTAAAAAACAGAGGGCCTGGCTGAGGGCAGGTCCAGGCCTCACCTCCCGCCACCCCGTCCCGCTTCCCGGGGAAGGAGATTCAAGTCCCTTTTAAAAATGTACATTTGAAGGCACAGTGCAAGGACTGACAGGCTCTGGGGACCAGCTCCTCACCACCCAGCAGCAGCCGGGGCAGGGCTGTGGATGGACAGACAGACAGCGGGAGAGGGGAGGTCGTCCTGCCCCCCCAGACTGGGCACAAACAGCCCCCGGGCCTGGCGCTGAGCACAGAGCCAGACCCCCCCACCTGGTCCTGCTGCGTAGGAAAGTCTCACACGTGTGCAAAACATCTCAAATCCACTCACCTTAAAAATACACACCTACTCCAAGCTAGTTGCAAAACACCCTCCGAGAGGGACAGGGCTGGCTCTTAACAAGACTTATTGCTAGTGGGACAAAGCAAGGCCAGCTCAGCCCATTACCTGCTGCCACTGCAAAACAAGCCCAAACAGAGCCCCAAGAGCTGTTTGCAAATTCAACCTTAACATGAAACCCCAGCTGTGTTTCTTGTTAGAGCCCCCAGAAGCAGGCAAAGTTGGGAGATGAGGCAGAGTCAATGCTATTGTGTGTTGCAGCCCCTTACAGGTGGAAAAGGGTCATGGACTGGGCCAGAACCCATCCCCTGCTTGGCATGATGAGCTGGGAGCAGCCACGGGGATGTTCATGGCTCCTGCAGAACAGAGGCAACAAGAGCAGATCTTTCACACCACAGGAAGCTGGAGCAGGAGCACTGGGAATGCTCAGCCTCATCTCCCTGTTCCCAGCACTTCTCCAGCCAGATCTTGTCACAGGTTTCCTGCAATAAATTCCCTGTGGAACAGAGGTGGTGGTGTCTGAGGGTTCCCTTTGCCCCCCCCAGACAGCCAAGATGACCAACGTGGCAGCCTGGGCCCAGGCACATGGTTCTGGAAGGGCATTTACCACCCAAGGGATGAGGAACAGCTTCATCCTCAGGTGACATGGCCCAACAGCCTTCAACAGGGAACCTGCTGCACTGTTCCCCCAGAGGAGACCAGGTCAGAGCCCTGCAGAACAGACCCCATCACACATCTGGGTGCAAACCATGATCAGGTTTCACTAGTTGACCTTCCTGGGCTGCTGAAGAACAGATCAACTCAGGGCAGATGCCAAAGATGCTGCACCAGATTCCTGCAGCCCAGAGCTTGGGTTAGTGGGGTAAGAATTCAAAAAGAAATGAGCAGCAAGAAAATAAGTGCCTATTCTAACCCCAGCCTTCTGCCCAGAAAGCAGAGAGTGTCAGAAATACATAAAGGCTTTGGAAATCAAACATTTCAGCCATTCTTCCCTTCTGGACATCCCTTCTACTGCCCACAAATCTAACGTGTCTTGGGATGCACACAGCAGCTCCTGCCCAACGTCCTGCCAAGTGCTACAGAACAGAGCTTGGCTGCTTTCCCCTTCTCCCTCAGCTCAGCCCTCCAGCCCTGCCCCCGGGCCCCGCAGCAGGGACACAACTGCAGAGACACAAGCAGGTGGAGCTCTTGCTCCACCTTCAGGGATGCTGCAGCAGCAGAACCGAGCCAAGCCCGCAGGCCGATCTGATGTGTCGACCCATCGCCAGAGCCTTTTTGAGAGGGTGTTTCCAAAGTGCTCTGATCACTCAATGGTATTAGGTGGACAATAGCAAATGGTGCAGTTTGTCATAAAAATCTAAGACTGAAATTGGGCCATGGATAATCCCATGACCTCTCCCTGCTCCTCCAATAATGCTCAAGTGGTCAGATGTCACTGTTTCCTCCAGAACAGTGGTGGACTTGAGCAAATCAGATCAGATGGAGTCAGTAAACCATCTCTTTTCTACAGTATCCACCACGATCAGTTTATCCAGTTGCTCAGAACAACCTTCAGTTGCTCTTTCAGTCATGGTGCTGTTGTACTGCTGGCAGGAGATCTCAAAAGCCAAGACTGCTACACAAATGAGAATTAACAGGGGGTGATGGGGATGTTTTTTGTCCCAGAAGTGAGGAACAGCAGCACTGCAGAGCTGGCAAGACACTGAACTTTGCCAGAGTTCCCTGACATTCACTCCTTTCTCCTGCTCATGTCAAGAATGGATGTCATCTCCCCCAGCTTTCAGAATGCCAAGTCACTGCCTGAAATTAGCAACACACTAGAGGTGCTTCACAACCACTACAGACCATAGCAGGCCCCAGCACATCATGGTGGGGAGAAGCTCCAAGGGAGTAGCTGAGAATCAAGTACAGTCTTTTTCCAAGGGCTGCTCTGCAGAACATGGAGTCAAGTGAAGGGTCTGGCTTCCCCCCAGTAGAGAGTGGGAAACATGAAATCAAAACAGGTAGAGAAACTGCTTTGGACTGTTGTACCTAAGACCTCATGCAGGTCTTGGGGCACTTCCCCACCATCTGCTCACTGTTCTGAGATGCTGGGGAAGTGCTGGGAACTCTGCCAGCCATCCTGTTAAGTTGCCTCTCAAACATCCTCATGTGAACCTCCAGATGACCTAAAAATGTAACAAGCCACATCCTCAGCCTGACCACAACCTCCCCCACCCACTGATTTGCACGTAGGTAAGAACAGAGCAAATAGCAGAGGGCAGTGGGGAAGGAGCTCCCCACCTCTGGAGGACACATCCTGCAAGCTGATGTTTCAAAACTGAACCACAGGGATCACCCCCCACCACCAGGTCTGGTCCATGGGAACCTCCTGTCACGCCCTGGAGGTGTCAGTGTTTGCTGGAGTACAATGTTTCTTCTTCAGTGTCCGTTTCATCCTGAAATTCATGGCTCAGGAGGGACTTCTTGGAGCTGGTGGACATCATGCGGATTTCGTCCTCGTAGTCGTCGTGGTGCTGGCGGAGGCGGTGGAACCCATCCTTGTGTCTGTTGGACTTGATGGAGCAGACGCACCAGATCATACAAGCAGTGAGGACCAGAGCAGACATGCTTGCAGCTGCCAAAAAGGAGACATTAATGCCCTGCTCCTCCACCCCAGAGGCTCACAGCCTTGCCACCATCTCTCTTCCCCAGTCACAGCTGCTTTCCTCACTTCTCATGCCACAAAGAGCTGCTCCAAGAGCAGGACTGCAGTAGCTTTTTTTTCTGTGCTCACTATCTAGAGTGGCATCACTGAGCTCCTCTGCAGACCACTGGGTAGAAACTCTGGCCTCCCCAGCAGCTGCCACCTCAACAACAACAAAAAATAATCTCTTGATGCTGACCTGGTGCCACTTCACTCCAAGAAACCCTGAGGAAGAAGCACGACCTCCTAGCTTCCAGCTCCACCCAAAAACAGGCTCTCCCCATTCCAGGCATCTCAAAGTCCACTCAGAACCCTGCAGACCTGTGCCACATTCTACTTACTTCCCTACACCCTCCCTCCTGCCAACCCAAAGGTTGTTGGACCAGTTTGCCTGGACAAGCACGTGTTCAGAAGGGAAAGCAGGAGATGGCTGAAGTCCACAGGCTGCTTTTCCAGATCAGTGAAGAGAAGGGCCATTGTCAGCACAAACCACTAAGAAAGCAAAGCTCAGAGCTTTGATCAAGTGTCACTTTACCTGCAACAGTTACAACCAGCTCCCTTGGCAGACCAAATATCCTGTTTTCCATGTCAAATACAATGAGGACAGAGCTGGGTGCATCCTCACGTACAAAGACCTGCAGAAAGATACCAGAGCTCAGACTGTCTCAGAGCTTGCACCTCTCTTAGGTGTCCAGTCAAGAGAGGTAACTTGCTGATCAGGGCAGGACCACGTGGATGCCACAGACAAGTGCAATGAAAAGCTACTGCTGAAAATAACCCTGCTAAGCTGGGAAATTCTTCTCCTTCCAGTGTAACAAGGCAGAAAAGAGCCTCCCTGGGCATATAATCAGCAGCTAAACAGCCAAGGAGGCAGAGCCCAAACCCAAGGGGGTGCTTTTATAGGACAGGGAGGGTAGAAAAGATCTCCAACACAGACATTCACATACCTTGACATGTTTCTGCTGGTACCCATCAGCTTTTGCATAGATGCTGTACAAACCTGGAGCCAAGAGCACATGGAAATAGCCACCTTCTTTAGTGGAGACCTTCAGACCATCATTAAGAACAATGGTAGCTTTAGAAATTGCCTTGCCACTCTTGTCTTGGACAAAGCCATGGATTCCCTTATGAACCTGAAATAAAGCATTTCAAACACTTCACATTCTGATCCAAGTGTCAGGATCTAACTCACCCCTCAGAACATAGCCCTTTCTCCACCCCTGACCCCCATAATAAATAAAAGGACACAGCACTGCAAGGGCTGCTCATGAGGCAACACTACACACATGTTAAACTCATGTCAACATGTCCTGGTCACTTGCTGTCTCTGTTCAATCCATTCCTCACACAGTCTAAATTATGACCATCTGTAATTACAGAGCAGTGACAGAAACACAGACTCCACCACCCTGCTCCCTTCCTCTCCCCTTCCCCACCCAGCCCCACTGCCTTTGCTCCTTGCCAGAATTCCCTCCCACAGCCTCAGCTCACCTCCACCAACATGCTCAGGAGAGGTTTCCTGTGGTCTGCCCACAGGCTGGGCAGCTGCCCCGCGCTGGGGAAGTAACAGCAGCTGGTATAAACCGTGATCTCAGGACAGTGACCAAACATAACGCTGAAATCCTGCAGAAATAAAATAAACAAACAAAGCCACAGCTGAAGAGGTGGTGTTTAAAAAGCTTTGCAAAGTGCAGCTGGAAGTGGGGAAGTTTTGCCCAGACATCAGAACAAATATGCTTTTTAATGCTTGCTTAGCAGAGGTGGAAAGGCTCGTGCTGTGCCAAAGTACCTTCATGCTCCCCAGGTGACTGTGCCACTCGGAGCCACGGATCACGCCACCAGGAATGTTCTCATCTGTGAGGGCAGGAATTCAGATGTCAGATAAAAAAAAAGGAATGCAGATGTCAGATCTGCTCCTAGCAGAGTCCAGCACAAGCTGATGAGGGGTTAAAGGATTCAACCAAACATACCTGACTTATTTGGACAGCCTGGCTGGCCCAAATGCATCAGTGGATGGTTGTTTGCATACAGAGAGGCCAAATGCTTCAGTGTTTCTTTGTTCTCCACTACAAAGAGAAAAGCAAGACTTTGAGAGCTCACTCCCATTCACAGATTCCCATCCTATCTCCAGGATCATGCATAAAACAGTGAAACACATTGTCTTTGGGGCATTCCAGATTTTCTCTAACCCTGAGAGGTGGTATCACAAACTTTATACTGCTGTTGGGAGAGGAAAAGTTGAAATACTGCTGTAGGAACAGAAATGGCCAATGTTCTGATCCCTAGCTGAAAAAAAAAACCTGTGAGGTTTTACAGCTTTACTTAACAGACTGTCAGCTCCAGGTGCCAAGGGCTGAACACAACAGGGGGCCACAGAGCACCACCAGCACAAGAAGCTCTCACACCACATGGTCACATCGACTTCTGCAGAGACAGCCCGAGGGTAACTGTGTGAGCAAGGCCCTGGAGGGGTTAGTCATACCTGTCTGTGCTGGCTTGTCGTATGGGTACGTGACAAGCAGAGATCCTCCATCTAGTGCAACAGAGAGGCTGAAATCCTGCTTCAGTATCAAGTTCTCTATGATGGCTTTGGTCTCAGGCTCTCGTGTCGCTGAGTATCGGGAGTAATTGCCTGTAAATTAGAACAACAAATGGAAAAGGGAATTGGCAACAGTTTCCTCTGCTATTGGAGAGGCCAGCAAAAGCACATTCTTTATGTCTGAAATTATGCCTGCTGCATGTATGAAAAGGTATATGTTAAATCTCAGCAGATGCTGATAGATCAAGTAAAGCACCCAGTCTGCACTATCCATGGGGGGAATTCATCTGCAAAGCTAAACACAAATGACAGGTTATTTCCCCAAGCTATTTCATGCTGTGATGCAGAGAGTGTCTTGTGTGTTTGCTCTCCTCAATGTCACTGGAGTGACATTTTCTTAAGAAAGCACTTGGAATGATCCC